AAGTACACATGTGGTTTTAAACAATGCACACAGTGCCGTGCAAAGTATGTCTTCCCCCCACCCCAGGTCCCAACTCCTTCCCCAGAAGCCCCCCAGAGTCTCTGCACCTGCACGTGTGCGCGTGCATGTGTGTGTGTGTGTGTGTGTGTTTGGTGGGGGCGGGTATCCTTTTCAAAACACACAGGTGCAAGCCTACCCTTCCCAGTGTCCTGCACTCTCTTTCTCCACGAGGTGCCCATTCCTGCATTTCTGCACACCTCCCATGCAGGCTGGCAGCATTCCTGGTCCAGCTGCTGGCATTCCAGCTGTGGCTGTGTCCGCATTCAGAGGCCCCTACTGATGGGCCGTCAGGCTGTTTCAAGACTTGGCTCTTCCAAATACTGTTGCCACTTGTAGCTCTGATAGGGCATCAGAAAATGACCTCAGTGCAGACCGAGCATGGAGGTGGGGTCTGAGCCGGCCTGACCTTTGTTTGGAGGAACCCAAGAGGAGTGGGCTTTTAAAAGAGAGCCCTGCCCTCTCACTGCCCCATCCTCCCCCCACCTGCCCAGGCTCTGTGGACAGGAAATGCAGTGTGGGGCCAGATGGGGCACTTGACCTTTGCCCTCCTGACCCCAGCTGCCCTCTAGCTTTTCTAGCCCTTGGAGCTTGATTTTAGTAGCTGCCCTCAGAAGACGGGTCTGTTTTTCTGGTTTTCTCTTTGCTCTTTCTTTTCCTTTTGTCAGATGTGTGTTTTTTATATTCTGGGGTAGATGCTTCGCCTCTTAGCAGAATAAGTGTCCCCTGCGGGCCATTCCAAGCACAGCTCTCCCCTCCACTCTCTACCCCCAGCGCTGCCAAGTCCAAGCCAATCATCGCGGAGCCCGAAATCCACGGCGCACAGCCCCTGGATGGGGTGACTGGCTTCCTGGTGCTGATGTCCGAGGGGCTGTACAAGGCCCTGGAGGCAGCCCACGGGCCTGGGCAGGCCAACCAGGTGAGCTGGGCCCGAGCAGAGTGCGGCTGGCCAGCCTGCAGGGTGGCGTGCTCCCCTGGGGACCCAGCCAGCCCTCCTGCTCAGCGCCCAAGTGCTCAGGGACCCAGAGCTTTGATTCTCAAATGTCATCACCAGACACATTCTCAGGGTTCAAAGCTGGGGAAGGAAAAGCCCAGAGCTCCAAGAACACCCATCCCACCCAAAGCTTTGCTCCTGGGCTGGAAGCAGTGTCAGGGTGAGGTGGGCGTGAGTGTCCACGGGCACGCGTTGCTCGGGAGACTGTTGTAGAAGGGCCCCGGGCCGTGGAGGAGAGTGCAGGAGCAGTGCGGCCTGCCACACAGAGCACTGGCCAAGGAGTCATGCCGGCCACATCTAGTTCCAGTCCACCATGTCCTTTTCTTCCTTCTCAGCTGCGGATAATTTACAGCCTGCTCTCGTCTCTAAGATGAGGGTGATATCATCTGCCTCTGTGGGATTGTGGTGAGGGCTCGGTGTGATAAACGTAGGTCCTCAGCTGGTGGGGACCCACGCCTTGTAGGACATGTCAGACAGTCATCACTAAAGTGGTCAGTTCAAGGATGGTTTTAAAGGGAAGCTGCCTTTAACCTGACTCTGAATTGCTGGGTTGGTCAGATACGTTCAGGTCATGTTTCTCTTTACGTCTGTGACTCTTGTAAGAAGCTAAGCTTTTTTGTTTTGTCCTTCCTGATTAAAAATTATGAGGAAAATGTCTTATGTGCCTAATTGTCTCCTGATACCTGTGTTCAGGGGTTTTCACCTATTTTATCTTATCATTCCTTCCAGTAGCACTGTAACCTAGAGGGGGCAGCAACTCACCATCACAGCCAGTTAGGGAACCTGGGTCTCACAGAGTTCAGGGTCACGTTTGAGGTGACATAGCTGGTCATTGTGGGAGCTGAGCCCACTCTGACTGGCCCTAGGCCATTTCCTGTTACCTGCCCCTGTTCCCCTACCTCCAAGAGACTCTGGTCAGCCAGCACATAGGGAATTTTGTGTTTGTTTTTTATCTTATTGTCAGTGTGATTTGTTTTTTATTTTCTTTGGTTTTCACGATAGAATTATACACTGGCTTCCACTGGGCTCTAGAATACACTGGACAGTGGACCTCTCTAAGGGCCTTAAGGAACCCTGTCTTCATTTTGTATCCTCATTTTCTGACAAAATTGGCTTATCATAGCCTACAATAAGTTTGTTCTAGAAAAGAAAGCTTAATAATAATGATAATTTATACTGGGCTTTTTAGTAATCCCCAGAGTGCCCTCACATCCTTTATGTTATTTAATCCTTATAGTAACCCAGTAAGGTGGATATTATCTCCATTTTATTGGTGTGAAAGCCAACAATCAGATCACAGGGTCACACATATTCTAATGAGAAAGTTCCAGAAGGATTACCCTGAACACCTTTGAAAAGCTCAGATTGCAGGCGTGGCTGGTAGGGACTTCCTTCACCTGCTTGGCCAGTGACCCCTAAGTGTTGGGATTAGGCTCTGGAGTTGTGGCCCACTGTCCCCGGGACCCCTTGTTCCTCACCAGGTTTAAACCCCCATCCCCACCCCCAGGAGATTGCTGCCATGATTGACACTGAGTTCGCCAAGCAGACATCCCTGGATGCTGTGGCCCAGGCCGTGGTGGACCGGGTGAAGCGTATCCACAGTGACACCTTTGCCAGTGGCGGGGAGCGCGCCAAGTTCTGCCCGAGGCACGAGGACATGACCCTGCTGGTGAGGAACTTTGGCTACCCTCTGGGCGAAATGAGCCAGCCCACAGCATCCCAGGCCCCAGGTGAGCATGCAGTGCAGACCGGGAGCCGCCTGGGAGGCCATCGGGGCTGGGTGGATGCACAGTAGTTGAGGCTGGGGGCTGCCTGGAATGGAGGTGGAGTCAGGAGGCCTATGGCTCTGATCTGGGCGCTCTGACTTTCAAGGTCTCTGAGCTGCCTTTGTTTGTTTTCCCTTTTGTCTGTGAAATGAGGAAATGCCATCTGCCCTAGCTGCCTCCCAGAGGACCTCAGTGCAAAGTGCTTGCAGAGCCGCCAGGCCACACGATAGGGACGATGGCTTCCACTGGCTGAGGGCCTACTCTGTGTCCGGCACTCAACCCACACGTTTTCTGTAGTCCTCATTAACAACCCCGAAGAAGATGGCACCCCTTTTTACAGAAAGGAAAACTGAGGCTCTGGAAGGAAGAGACCTAGGCAAGGCTAGGCATGTGGACAGAAGGTCCCCAAAGCCTGGTTCTGTCCCTGGGCCATGTCAGGGCAAACGCAAGATGCTTTGCTTTCTGCCTTTTTAGTTCTTGAGTCACGTTGCTCAGGAAGTGACACAGTCTGCACTCCCTCCCCATGCTGCTCAGCGTCCAGACAGTTAGTCCTGGGGCTGCATTTCTTCTTTCTTTTTTCAAACAAGCCTTAGCACTCAGGCATGCCCAGATGGACTTGCTCTCCCGCAGACACCAGGGTTAGGAGGCTCTCTAGCGTTGTTGTTTGTGCAACCTATTTTTGTTGGGCCAGCCTCAACTAGGCGCTCAGTCATCCTCTCGGATTAAAGCATTGTTACGGGAAACCAGGCAGTAACCCTTTTGTCCTGACAGCTCAGCACTTGATTCTCCTCCAGCTTTGAGCACCAGCAGTGCTGTGCTGCCAAGTAGAAGCCCCTGCAGGGCCTGGAAGAGTCTCTGCCATGGGACCCTCCTTATCCATCCCAAGGGGCAGAAGGCCAAGCTGCAGCTTGGGGAGCCAGGCTGGGACACCGCCTCCCCTTGCAGCCCTCAGACACCGCCCCCGTCAGGCCCTGCAGCAGCCTTGTCCCACCACCCCTGCCACTTGCTGTGGCCCACCACTCTCTTCCTCCCAAAGCCGCAGGAGGACGCGTATACCCTGTGTCCGTGCCATACTCGAGCACCCAGAGCACCAGCAAGACCAGCGTGACCCTCTCTCTCGTCATGCCCTCGCAGGGCCAGCTGGTCAATGGAGCCCACAGCGCTTCCACCCTGGACGAAGCCACTCCCACCCTCACCAAGTAAGCCCTCACCCCCACCCCAGCCCTTCTCAGGCCTGCTTCCTGGGGACAGCCCTTGTACCTGAATAGGAATGCCACAGGACCAAGTCTTGTAGCTGAGTGACTTGGATGAGATGCCCTGGGGTCTTGTACCCCTGAAATGCTCCCCCCGCTTCCTGGGAGGCTTCCCTAGAGGCTGGGGCAGGAAAGGGAAGCACTGCAGGTTCCCGAACAGCTCACTGAAGCTGGACCTAGGAGGGGTGCAGGTTTCCCAGGGCAGAGCGGTGAGGCAGGAAGGGAGGGGACAGGAAGCTGATGCTGACAGCCTGCTGGTCACATTTCCCTTCTGGTCCCATGTATTCGTTTTGAATAGGAAGGTTCTCTTGTTCTCTCTTCTCCTGTCTTGGAGTATGTGATGTAGGGTGGCCTCCCAGATGGCATCCATGCTTGGGGGACATTGTTTGACCTGTACTGGCTTGTCAGAGCCAATTTTAGCTTTGAAGTGAGTTCTCTAGTTTAAGGCAGAGGGTGGGGGTGGGGGGCTGGCGCACGGGTGGGCAGCAGGGGGTCTGGAGCCTGGGGTTGGGGCAGGCAGGCTCCCTCACTGCAGACCTGCCACAGGTCTGATGTCCACCCCACCCCCTTCACTTCTGTGGAATGTATCCCCCCACCTTCCCACCACACCAGGAGATCAGGATCTGATTTCCACATTCCAGCCCTGCAGGAATAATAGAGATGCCACACCCAGCCCACTCAAAAGATGTGGCCAATTGGAAAGGTCATCAGGAAAAGAGTGGCTCTGTTTCCCTCTACCGGGAAGGGGGCCTTCCCTTTTTCCTGCCCCCATGCCTCTGCTGCCGCCACCACTGTGGGCTGGAGGGACCTGCCAGGCAGTTGAATGATAGGCATCCCTAGTGAGTGCAGTAGGGGTGGCCCTCCCACCCCTGCAGGGCTGCCCAGAGGAAGCCACCAGCTGTGTCCACAGAGGCAGAGGTGCTAGCAGTGGTCCCAGACCAGGCAGGAGAGCTAGCCATCCTTCTGTGCCTCTAACTCCCTGGGCCCCTGAAAGCCCCTGCCCTCCATCCCGCACCTGAGCAGTAGATGGGCCCTGCTGTGGACTGGCCCGGTGCTGGGTGCTGGGAGTTTGTGTGGAATGGTGGGCTAGCCGGTATTTCCCAGCTATTCCATGCTCTGTGACAAAGTGTGGGTGCCCTGGGAGCTCTGAGAACACGGGGGACCCATCCCCACCCAGCCAGTGAGCGGGCAATGAGAAGGAGGGAGTAAGGACGGTTTTCTGGGAGAACAGCCCTGGCCCGCCTGCCAAAGGTGAGGTTTGGATCTGGAGATTGGAATGCGTGCGCACTCAGCGCAGCTCTGAGGGTGGAAACGTTCCGGGTCCTGTGCAGTAGCCACCAGCCACGTGTGGCTATCGAGCACCGGAACTGAGTGACCCATTTTAATTCTGGTTATTTAAATAGCCACATATAGCTAGAGCTTTAAAACCACATTTGACGTTTTATCTCCTCCTGAGGACGTGTGTCTGGGCTGGCTCTTAGAGTCACCTTTGTCAGAGAGGCCTGTGGCCTGTGGCAGGGGCCACCCTGTCCTCAGGCTGGAAGGCAAGGCCCCTCATTGGCTCTGTCATCCCCACAGCCAGAGCCCGACCCTGACCTTGCAGTCCACCAACACGCACACCCAGAGCAGCAGCTCCAGCTCGGATGGAGGGCTCTTCCGCTCCCGGCCTGCCCACTCGCTCCCGCCTGGCGAGGATGGCCGTGTTGAGCCCTATGTGGACTTCGCTGAGTTTTACCGCCTCTGGAGCGTGGACCACGGGGAGCAGAGCGTGATGACGGCACCATAGTCCCCTGCCGGGGAGTGCAGCCCGAGCGAGATCTTGCACGGGGACAAGGGGCTCACCTCTGGGGCAGGATGGTTTTTGTCCTGCCAATTAACCTGTGCCGTGGGGGCCAGTGGGGGCCCAGTCAGCCCTCAGTCTGCACCATACTCTCACCCCCAGCTCTTGGTGCTGTACAAATATCCTCCCAGAGAGCGCCAGTGCAGATGGACCCCTTGGGGATACCTTGTCACTACACAGGGCTGGAGGCCACGCCCTCAGGCAGCCAGGACCACCGCTGTTTCTCAGAACGAGGGGCTGGCCTGGAAGCTCACGTGTGGGGCAGAATGTGAAGAGGTTCTCCTGTGACCCTGCATGTCACAGGCCCAGCAGCCACTGCTTTCTCCAGGCCACGCCCCTCTGGCCACCACCTCCCCTGGAAGAGCCTGTGGCCCCTGCTAGTGCCCCTCCCCACTGGGTGGTGCTTCCCCTTCTCCATCCTCTAGAGCGGAGGAGCGGAGTCCAGGTTGGTGTGTGAACCTTTGAAGCCTGCAGCCGCCCCTGGGCCCATCTTGGGTCCGCAGGCTTGTCAGTGGTAACCGGTCAGGAAGACCAGGGAAGTGTTGGCCTAGGATGCCTGCAGAGGGCAGGCTGGCCTGGGTTCTGAGTTAGAACGTCTTACACGCGTTCTCTACCTTCTGTGGGCAGGGGTGCCGCCAGGCCCATCGGCAGGGTTGTGTTCCTGTTTTCAGAGGAGAACCAGGCCCAGGAGACTCACAACTTGCCCAAGTTACACGGTCCAGTCCATGGGGGAGCAGAACAGACCTTCTATGAGGCCCCCAGGCCTCCCAGATTCTGCGTCCCCCTCCCCAGTTCCCACCTCCTGCCCCACGAGGCCCCAGACACAGCTCACCAGCGGTAGGCCTCTGTGTGCAGCCTCCGATGTGCTTAGACTCTGAAAAGTCAAGGCGGATTCCAAGGCCCTGCTCGCCCTCTGGCCCCGGAATACGGTTCCCTAGGGAAGGGCGGCACAAGCAGAAGAAAAGCGAGTCTTGGCAGAGCCCTCACGCCCCTCCACTAGGAAGCCATGTCTGTTCTTCAGGTGAACGGATTTAAAATTAGTCACAAAGGCTAGGGAACAAAGGGAATTCTCTTCCAAGAATGTCTCAGTGATGCTGTTTCATCTCTAGAAATAGAGCTCTTTTTTACCACAGTAAAGAAATAATAAATGGTGGTATTAAACGTGAAGGTGTTAATAGTGCTTTTATTATTGGCTCGTGTGACACAGCAGCCCTTACAGGTGGATGCACCTCCTGCCCTCCAGCTCCCCAGGCTGGGGATGGCGGCGCTGGGGTGTGAACCTGGCCTCCTGACTGGCCCCAGGGCTTCCGCCCTCAGCCCAAGGGGAGAGCCCAGCGTTGTCTGGCTTCCCTCCAGGTCCCCATACATCTGGAGAGGGTGACAGTTCCCGCTGCAGGCCAGGGCCTCCAGGCCCCGTGGGCAACGGTGCGGCTGTGGTGTCATCCCCATTCTCCCTGACTGCGAGAGGCTCAGTCAGAGGCTCTGGTCACCAGGACAAAGCTCTCACTCACCAATTAGTGGACTTTCAGGGGGCTCCTTTGCTTTATTTGGGTTTTGTTTGGGTGGAGGATGTTCTATAGATAGCAGTCCATTAAAGTGCCTCTTCCTGCTTTTGGGGACTTAAGAACTTCTCTCACAAGAGAGTCTGTGACTAAAGCTGAAACTCCCTAGGGTTTAGGAACAAAGCCAAGCTCAGCATTTGGGTGGTGGGCTCCCAGATGCCTCCCCTTACTCTGTTGGGAAGGGCCACCAAGGGGGCTCCCTCGGCAAAACTGCCTTTCAGGATCTGTCCCCTCACAAAGTTCTGACAACCACTGCTAGCCTGAGCCCATCTGTGTCACGACCCGCATGACATGAGCAGTGGGAGAAAGAGAGGGGGCGGCAAAGGGTTAAGAAGTAAAAGAAACAGCAGCCAAGAGTTAAATGAGCGTGGGGCCAAGGGTCTCCTGCCTCGTGGACTAAGAGCCCGAATCGGCTGACACACCGCTTTTATTTCTCCACCCACCCGGAAGTAGCATTGTTCTCTCCACAGTCTGTGAGTCTCATTCCTGAGAATTTACTCAAGCCAGATTACCCATGCCTGCAAGCTGCTGTTACCAAGAGTCCGCACACGGAGATAAGACAGATGCTCTGCCTTTACACACCCTATAGGCAAATGACCCCAGGAAGATAAGATTATTGTGCTGAGGACAGATACTAGCACAACATCAGGTCACTTCCCAAGCAGGTTGAGGGAAGGAATGGAGCTATAGAGGTAGAAAACCTCCAGTCTTTTTAGGGGGCGAGTGAGGGCTCATGCCCACCTCCATCAGCCCCAAGATTTCTCCTAATGGCCTCCACCCGACCGTGTCTGTCTTAGGTTGTTCTTCCCACGAGGAATCTTACCCGTCAGTGACTAACCAGCCATCCTTTGGAGCCAAACAGGGAGATACAAGGTATATGAGCACTGTCCTCAAAAGGGTCAGTTTAGGGTTAAGCGCGGGGGGGACAGATGGCTGGACAGCTGTGTGGCAACACATCTGGAGTTATGGTGTCAGCCCAGCACCCCAAGAGGGAGGTGGTGGGTGTACCATTTCTCAGATGAGTGACTGAGGCACAGACAGGTGGGGGGCATAGTCCCCAGCACAAATGGCCCTGTCTAACCCCTAGGCCCCAGGGCCTCTCCTAGCACCCGCTTTGCTCTAGGTGTGGGGGCAGAGCACTGCCCTGCTGGTTCTGTGTCCCCTGTCCCCTGGCCTCTGTGTCATTCAGCTCCATTTGAGCCTGCCTCCTGGGGGCGAGAGGGGCACTGTTTCAGCCTCCAGGTTCCCTGTGGCAGGCGGAGGAAGATGTGGAGCAGAGGAAGCTTAGGAGTCTGTTTTAGGACTTAAGAAGTGACAAGGGTCAGGACAAGGAAAAGAACCCAAGCAACCAGGCAAAGCTGCGCAGCGATGGGCCAGTCACCAGCCCTGTCTGACACACAAGGGGGCGGGACTACCGCCACCAAGCCAGGAGCCAGCTGCAGCCCCTCTCCAGCCTTTCGCCCCTCCCCGAGGCGTCAGTGGGGAGGGCTTCCAGTTTCCCTGAGGCCGGATCAAATAGAACCAGAGAAGCCCAGCCACCGCCCGCTGCCTGTGCCCACTTGTCCCCTGAAGACACCTGCTTCCCTCACAGGACAGGACTCATTCACAGGCTTGATGGAGGCCTTGGCCTGGGTCAGACCAGACGGGTGAGGCCAGGCTTTCTGGAACCACTGCTTGTCCTAGGCCAGAGGCTGGTGGGCAGCAGTGCGGACATCCGGCAGTGCCAGGAACTCCATGGACACCCTTGGGCCATCTTCACTAGGGTTTGTGCTAGTGTTTCCAGCCCTCATCGGGTTCTCTAATTCTCATGACTCAGCCCTTACACTTTTGGGGGGCATCCCCATCATTGGTGCTTTGGCAATGAGACATTGACATCATAGGGAATGACCTTACCCTTCACTCCGTTAGCTCCTGTCACTCAGGCTTCAGCACCTGAGAGAGGCCTTGCTTGGTCCCACCCTGGCCACACCTGACCCATCTCCCTGTTTAATCTGCTTCACAGAAACTCGCTGTCTGACATTTTTTGCTAATTTATTTGTGTGTGTCTCTCCCACTCACTAAGATGTCCACTCCGTGAGAGTTGGACTTTGTCTACCTTAATCCATTGGGTCCCAGCCCCAAGGTCAGTGCCAGCTATGTAGTTGCCCTTCACATACGTGTGGAATGAATGAATAAGTGACTTGACCATGCTGAGCCTGGGCTTCTTTATCTGTAAAATGAGGAGCCGATCCATTTTTTTGTTTTGTTTTTTAAAGATTTTATTGGGGAATTGGGAGAGGGGAACAACATTGGGGAATCGGGGAAGGAGAACAGACAAGTTGCTGTCCCTTTGCTCCTCAGTCTAGTTGTGGAGGACGTCGCCTCACTGGCCCATGTTGGTCTTCTCATTGCACTCTTCCCGGGTGAGGCAGTCACTTGCCGGCCATTAGATAGCCTGGCTCACAGTGGCTCACGGCAGCTCATGGCAGCCCCACTGCAGCCCATGCCCATGTTGTCTGTGACTCACAGCAGCCCAGCTCCAGGTCGAGCTGCTGTTCACCATCTTAGCTGTAGAGGGTACAACATCACTGGCCCTCATGTGGGATCCGAACCGGGGCCCAGCTGCTCAGAGCTGGCGTCCCAAGCCAACTCCTAACCAACGTGCCACTCGGCCGGCCCCCGACCCACTTCTTACTAAGATGGCCTGACATGCCTGAGCTGCCATAGAGGTAAGAATTGCTCTGTCCTACAGAAGTGGAAATGGACTGCGACATGTTACGAAAGCATGAGCTGAGACTTCTGCCCCTCCACCACTACCACACACATGCAGGCACACACACACTCTCTATAAAGTCATGTATAATGAAGGCTCCACCTGGGGCTTCACACTAGCAGGTGCTACTTGCAGCCTCCCCTGGGAACCCAGACGTTGAGGAGTTGTGGCTTTTGCCTCTTGTCAGCCGAAGCCCAGAGGGAGGCCATCAGATGGGCCCCTGACTATTTCTCCCAACAAGGGCATCTTTCATGATTCTTCCTTCTGGGCCCCCTGTTTTGAAACCAAACAAGAACACAGATCACTGCCATTCCCGGCGGGCTCGGCATGAGCGCGCGCTTTGTTCCCACGCGGAGCAGAGGTGATGTCAGCCAAGAGCAAAGACAGGCACTTGACATTTCCATGAGCCTGGGCGGCCTCCTCCAGGACAGACACAGCGTCTGGCAGCCAGCTTTGAGGAATCCTGATACCAGCTCACAAACTCTATTCCTGCCTTCGAGACCCCCAGAGGGGTCAGAGGACCCCAAGCTTTTGGACAAGTCATCTAGTGCAGCCCCTCCTCCCCTTGTTCTCCCAGGTCACAGAGTGGGCCAGAGCAGGGACAGGGTGGGCCTCAGAGCTCCACCCATTGCGTCAAGGCCAGAGCCCCCTGGCTGTTGCCACGTCCTCCATGATCAAGCTCCCACATTTGTCACTTCAGCAAAGCCAGTGCTGAGCTCAAGAACCTCCCATATCTGCAGCTTCCTGCCTCCTGGCACCTGCGGTGTTGGAGTCAATTGTATGCTTGCTGTTCCTCTTCCCCAGCCCTGAGAACCACCCCCACCTGCCCCCTCCACCCTAGACCCTCTCCTCCCGGCCATCTCCACTCGGACTCGGCCACTTCAGCCGGCGCTTTGTGCATCACCAGTAAAAACTACAAAGGGGTTTCAAAACGGATTCCACTGTCTGAGCATCTGAGATTAAGAAGTTGCCCTTCCCAGGTTAGGATTCTGCTAATTAAATGGATTAACCAGGTATGGGTACCCTTAAGAAAGGGAACAAAACAGAGTCCCTAAATTAATCAGTGAGGGGAAAAACAAAGAGGAAACAGCTGAATATCAGGGCGGATCTAACTGCAAACTAAGTTTTAATTACTGGTGGCTAGATAGTGAGCTATGCCGTGAGTCAAACTACAAACTGACTAAGTCTAATTACGTTATTGATTTACTGAATTTCACCCTTACACAGTGGGCTTATCACCAGGTGCTTTGGCCCTCGCCTGCCCAGCCCCCAACCCGCACCCTCCTTGAACCAGATCAGGCCCTTCATCCTCCTGGGAAGTGGCCAGACCTTTCGGTGCATCTGTGTCTTTGCTGATGCTCTCCCTGCTGCCCAGGAGGCCTTTTCACAGGTAAGAACTATTCATCCTTCAGGACCTAACTAAGGACCCCAGAGATGCCTTACCCTGCTCAAGCCCTCTCCCAGGCTCCTTGGCTCCTGTGAGCACGGGGCATCGCTACCCCTGGGCTGCAGTGAACCCAGGGCTCCTGTGAGGACCCATGAACATTTCGTCTCTGGGTCCCGGTGCCCAGCACAGGGCAGTGTTTGTGGCATTGAACTGAGCTGGACCCAGCAGTTCTGAGATAAGGCGTGAGACCCCACTTGGACCCTGGGCAGAGGGCAGGGACACACTGTGACCTTCGTGGGCCCCTTCTTCCACAAAAATTGCATGAAAAATTGTATTTCACAATTGCATTAGTATAAAGATAAATATATTAATTATTATATATTAAAACATGTTTTTTGAGCTAGAAGTTAATTTTTTCCTTCTGATTTAAAAGACAGTACACTCTTTCCGTGGACCCATACAAGAA